GATCAACTCCAAGAGTCTCCTTGAGAAATTCTCCAAAAACGGTTAACTCCATCAGATGACGCCAGATCCTCGTCCTCCCAGAATTGCTGCAAGCGCCCAGGATCTCAGCCCAGGACTATGCCAGGCTAGCTTGCTGCTAAGCAGCCCTGGCTGAAACCAGCAGCCTGGAAAGGTGCCAGCCTGCTCCCGAAAAACTTCAGCTCGCCCTGGAGCCTCCCCCAGCACACACAGTGGAGCAAGGCTGTTTTCTCAGCCCAGTTACAAGATAATAGCCTTCTCGATTTTCTGATCCACTTTCAAAAGCTGCAGGAACCCAAAATTAGTTGTCCGGCCCTTTCAGTTTAAAAATAGCTAACTAAATAGATGAGCTATTTTGTATAACCAGTCTTTTCCTTTCATTACTCCTCCGTGCCAGAAGCAGATCCTCTCTACTCGTCCCGCCAACACGCAGAGCTGGACATGAGCACCTCGAGGCTGGCACTATAAGCTAATACAAAGAACAAAACACCTGAACTTTAGCAAGCACCCCCAGCCCCTCCTGCCTTTTGCCCATGGGCACCTGCATACAGTGCTGCAGCCTCTGAACTGCAGAGAAATCAACCCCTGCGATGATCCAGGCCTTCATCCTGCACAAAGCGGTACAGCTCCAAAACCAGTCAAGCTGAGCGTTTGGTTCATCCATCAATGCTTCTACTAGATTGAAAAAAGTTACTGCAAATAAATCACTTACACACTTTCCTGAGATCGGCTCTGCCTGGTATGTTTACGTTCAGTCACTACACCAGTGCAAGCTGCATGCTGGGGACACTGGCCCCCAGCTTCTCACACTCGGAGCCTCTCAACCCCCAGCCATCTGACTAATTGATTTAATAACATGGGGCAACTATGCCCCAGCACCGCAGCAGAGCATTCGTCCTCCTGCTGAGTGCAGCTGGCAAGTCTCAGGTTGGAAAAGCCTCCAGCTGGCGTTAACAGTGAAGGTGTAAACCACAACATAGCTCCATACCACAGGTCACGGCAGAGCAGGAGGGCATGGGGCACGTCAGAGGCTGAAGAGCTCCTGCAAGCATCATGTTTGGCCAATAGCACCTGAACATAGGGAGAGATGATGCTATTGCTGGGCTCCTTTTCTGTGCACAAGCTTGAGCCCACAAATTCCCAAATCCAGCAGACTTACTCAACCCACCTCATACGCACCCGCTTTATCTGGAGGCGTAGTTTAAAAATGGAGGCATATTATTTAAGACCATAACTACACACCTGCTAATATCTGTTAGGTCCTATGAGAATGCGTGGGACCACTATATTTAGAATTTAATAACTCCAGTTAGTGCATCCTCTTTACTGCAGACCTGCCTACGTTTGTTTGCTGTGGTCCCAGGGGACTACATGGCTTTGGCAAGTGCAGTGGGAGCCTGGCTGCCCTAAGCCATGCAAAAGCCAGGGCAGGGCTCCTGTGGGGTCCATTAGACATCACACTGCTGAGCCTGGGATGCAGGATCTCTGGTACCTCCATGCACATGGAAACGTGGGGTCTGAGCATCTTATTTCCTCATTTAATTTGCCTACTTTAGCACAAAGAAATTAAATAAAACCAGAAAGTTGCTCATCAGAGCTAGAAAAAGCACTGTCTAGAGAAAGGACAGGGTCAGACAGGGCAACAGATGCCTTTCGTTTGCTTTCGGATCCCAGCCATGAAGCATTCAGCTTTCTGGATGCCAGCAGCCAGTTCAGCTTGGGTCAGGGGTTTCAATTGGGGCTTCTCAATGTACAGACACTGGAGGGGAAAAAACAGGCAAAATCTCAAGTAGCTTGGGTGAAAAGTGACACTGATTTCAAAAGCATCCCATGCTTCAATCAACACTTATTTTTACTTCCATAATCAACCGCGTGCAATCAAGGGAACAGGCTCAGTATCTGCAGGTGCACTCGAGCCCTGTTGCTGGGGGAGTCAGGGGCACCAGGGACACTTCTACATGCTCAGAGCCAGCCCAAAGTAGCTCCCCTGGAGCAGCTGCATGGCACAGGGGGCAAAACATGTGAAGGAGCAGGGAAAGCACGGCTCCTGGCATCTCGAGCTTGGCCACACTGGACCACCCGGGCACGTGGAGAAACTTCTGCTTGGGGGAACCATGTCCACCAGCCCCACGCAGAGCAGAGCTTCAACAGGCAGCAGCCCCGACAGCCGCAACTGACACATGGTGAGCCACACTCCCGCGCGAGGGAAGCACTCAAACATGTCCATACCCAGCATCCCCCCAGAAAATTTGGTACATGAGCTACACACCAGCAATGCCACTTCTGTGGCTAATGCCCCAGAGTTAGGAAGGCACCATAATATCTCCCTTTACATGGGAAACCACCCAACTCCCTCCAAAACACAAGGTCCAGGACTGTAGCGCCCTGTGCACGGGGGATCAATAGGGTGCAGAGCCCCAGGAGCACCTCCTCGTCTCCCTCATGCCAGGGAGAGGATGAGACATGGCATACACTTGCTCTCCACATGGCGGTCAGCTGCACACCAGTAAGCCCCAGGGACATGGTATACTCAGCAGCACCCAAAGAACCAACCTTCTTCACATCCAGCTCTGGTGGGCGTGCACCAGCACAGCAAAAACCTCAGGGCAGAAACCAGGATTTCTGCCCACAGTACTGAGAAAGAGCAGAACAAAGCTCAGCCATGAACGTTCCTGCGTTTCTGGAGAAACCATGCTGTGCTTTGAGCGAACAGGGAAGAGGCGACCGTCTCCTGTAACCACTGAGCGAGGAGGGGAGACAGTAACAGCACGTCACGTCTCACCGTCTCAGTAGCAAGGCGGAGAGCAGCAGGAGGGGCCCAAGCGACAGACCTCCAACTTCTTTTTGATCCACACAGATACTTTAATAACCTTTACAGAGTACGAGATGCTTAACAACCAGGAATGAAGCTGAGTGGTTATCTTGGTGCTATTTTTTCCCCCCCATGAGTCCCCACATAGATCCATACCCCTCCAGAAGCAGGGAGGCACCATGTGCAGGTCAGCGGGAGGATGTGGGGACACCCACTGTTCAGGCTGGTAACCTTCTGCCCCACCATGAGCCCTCACAGAGCGGAAAAGCCCAGAGCAGCATGAAGTGCTAGCCATGTCCTACAAGCTGCTCGTAATATCCAAGGAGAGATAAGCCACTCAGGCACAGAGCAATTTTCTTAATTGCAATAACTGTGTTTACATTGCAAAACAAGGATGCGTGCACCCTACAGTTGGGGCTCGCCTTGCTGCCTCCCACCGTGACCCTGAGCACCCTGACAGCAGCACAGTCCCAGGGGATTTCCAGTCAGCCCAATGCCACCCCTCCTCGTCCCCAGCGCATTCCCCTTACCAATCCACACCCCAAACAAGCTACAATGAACCGTGTGCTCCTGTCTGCCCAGGAGCCCCCTCACCATTGCACCCTGTCCCCAAGCACAACTGAGAAACACAGCTCCTCCCTTCCCCAGCTGCTGCGTACCAGGAGGCTCCATCAGCACCACGTACTCACAGGCTTTCCACTCCACCTGTGAAGCCACTTCTTGCTGCCTGTGCAGTCAGGGATTTTGGATGTGGCAGCACAAGGGGCAGAGGGAGGAAAGGGCAGTTGTGGTACAATAACCTCACTACCATAACGAGGAGACAGTGTAGCGGCACAACACAGAAAGCAGAAGACAGAGGCAAGCAGGTACACGTGCACCCAGTCACCCAGCAGACGTCTGAGATGTACCGCCAACGCCTGGGACGCGCCATGGGCAGGGAGACAGATGCCAGGACATGGAGCCTGCAAGAAATGTCCCACGGCAATGAGCCACTCAGGAGCCCCAGACAGGACGAAGGTGATGCTTCCAGAGCTCTTGGCTTGCTCCCAGCCCCCTCCCCAGCCCCAGGAGAGGTAAAGGGAAAGCAAAGCACCAAGGACTGCATCTCCCACCCCACAGCCCCCTGGGCACACACGGAGGCACCAGGACAGACGGGCCACTGCCACCCCGTACCTGCGCTCCGTGACACTACAGCAACAGCTCCCGCTCCGCCGGCCCCGCTGCCCGGAGCGCAGCTCTGTCCTCGACTTCCTCAGGCTGAAGTACTCCGTCAGCTTCCCGAACGAAGCCATGGCCCCCGCAGCGTCCGAGCACGCGCCCGCCTGCGTCCCTGGGCGCCGGTCCCACCGCACGCTCATGCATGCTACACCCCGGCTGTGCTCGCTACCCCACGCGCTCCGTCAGCCCATGGGACCGGGAAGGGAGCGCTGCGAGTCAGAGAGAGAGAGACAGCACAAGACAGGAGGAGTTTAGCCAGGAATTACTTGTTGGACAGTCCACAGTGCGCTCCACGGTAATCCCTCAAATTTCAAGGGTAGGAAGCCCTGCCTCCCCAAGCCAAACGCAGGCGCTGGGCTGCACAAGAGCAGCTAGCATCTGCATGCTTATTTTAGTGCGATGCTGCAGAGCTGAATTAAGGAGGGGGGGAATAATAATAATGCCTGCTGGAAAAGATCCCTCAGTAGTGATGGCACAGGTCTGCGAGCCCCCACGGTGAGTGTCCACTTGGCAGGTGAGTGAGCTGGCCCCTGGGGAGGTGGCCCAGGGTGGCTGTGGTGGCCCTCAGCCGGGCAAGGGGATGCTATCTGGATCAGAAGGCGATGAGAAATCCCGAGAAATCAGCTGTTCAGATGAATTTCCAAAGGGTCTGTTCTTACGGCATACAGAGACCAGCACAATAGGTGGAGAGGATCCCCGCTTGCTCTTCTTGCGGCTCTTCAGAGTTCACCAGTTTTCCTCCCTCCCTGTTTTCCAAAGCAGAAGGCACCCCGGAGCCTCCCGCAGCACCTACCTAACACGATTTTCCAGCCTGTCACCAAACACCTGAGCACAAGGAGAGGAACATTTAAAGCAAGCAAGTCTGATCCAGTTAGAGGTCACCTGTGGGCTCTGCTCCCCAAGCTCCAGCACAAAGCCTTTCTACAGCAGGCAAGCAGATAAAGGGATGCTGCGAACCTGAAGGGAAATCCTACTGCCAAACCTCCCCTTGTCAGGAGCACTTGTCTCTGCATCCTCAGTGCCTGACGCCAGCTGGGCGGAGGAAAAACAAGGGCTTCAAAAAAAAAAAAAATCTCACTACAGCCCCACAGAGCAAAGCCAGATTAAGTCAGTGAAGTGCGTCCAGGGGAAGGGATGTCTGACGGCAACTCACAGCCATGCCAAGAGACCCTCAAGGAAACAGCAAAAGAAAACCAGCGTTAACTCAACTGGCAGACCAGCAAGCTACCTTCACATCCTCTTGATACCGCTGTTGTGGATGCCATGTTAAAAAATAAACAAAAACCCATTCATTGCTATTTCCTTGCTTTGAGCCATCCACTGAAGCAGCCTGCTCACAACGAGGGATGACCACCTGCTGCCGAAAACCTGCTGTGTGCCTTGCCGAGCCACACTTCCCTCCTCCCTTATTTTCTTCCTTTTCCTCTAGGCTCTGGTTCAGCTTCCCGCTCCGAATTAAAAGCCTGAAGCAGCTGGGTACACCCCGCGGAGCACGAGCCCCACAGCCCACGGTCACCCGGGCAGCCGCCCGCCCTCGCCAGCTGCTTGTGACTCTCAGAGCAACCATCACCATCCCTGCCCACGGTTCTTGGGGGGCGCGGGGGGTCTTTTAATTTGTTTGACCCGTCTCCACTCCCTGCCTCCCCACTCCGGGCACTGACATTCATCCCAGCAAAACAGAGCTAACTGGTGCAAACCTGCGCACAAAGCGGTGGGCTGGCGATGCACCGGGGGGGCCCCCGTGGCCATGGGGGACCCTGCCAACCCCTCCGCCGGGCAGGCACACAGTCCCCCAGCACCTTCTCCCTCCAGTTCACACATCGGGAGGGGAGAACTCGGGCTTGCTTCCCTCTTACAGCCAGGGAAAATAAAGCTGTCTACCCGCTGCTCCGCACAGCCGCCCCCCGTTCGTCTCCCACCTTCTCCCTCCGATGGGCTCCACCGCTGCCGGGGAGAGGTCCACGGCGCTTCCTAAAAATCGATTTGTTTGCGGAGAGACGACAGGCAGAGCATCCGCTTGCTGGCTCTTTCAGGCGCAGCATGAGCCGGTAACACTGTCACCCCTCTTATCTCTCATCAGCTCCCCGTTACCAGTTGCAGTGAAATGCAACACGTCAAAGGAGGTCAGAGGAGCTGGAGGAGAGCGGAGGGGGCTGTTGGGAGGCAGCGGAAAAGCAGCCGAGGGGGAGACCAGACAAGCGGGAGACAGAAGGGGACAACTCTTGTTTCCCTGCTAGAGAGGAAAGGCATAACGCCGGCTCTTTCAGGAGCAGCTGGGTTAAGGCACACGCATGCCTTTGGAGGAGGATAGCAGCGGTTACCTGGCAGAGATGATGTTATCTGTTCCTGAGCTATGCAAAGTCAACAGGAGAGGGGCTGGGCTGGGCAGCAGGAGTGGAGAGGAAGAGCGAGGTTAATTTGAATCCCTCTCTTCTCTTCTTCCTCCACACCACCTGATGGGAGGGCAGAGGAGCAGCAATGCTGCCCCAGGGATCCTCCTTTGGCATTTGCAAAGCAGTATTGTTTGGGGACAAAAGGGCAATTTGGAAGACTGTAGAAAAAGCAGCAGGATTAGACAGACCGACTGATGGACACACTCCAAGGAGCAAGTCAGTCTTCCCCAGCACCCCGGCCGCATGGGGGACACCCCTACAGCCAGGAACATCCCACATTTCTGCAATCCCATCCTGGGCAGGTAGGTAGAAGCCACGGCTCTCTGCAGAAGAATCAGGCCTCCTGCAAGGCTGCAAAGCTTACTTTGTGAGCCCAACAGTGTTGGCACTTGGAAAACAAGCAGGAGGAACCTCTGCCTCCATGAAACCCCATGTCTGGGTAGCTGGGGGTGGTGGGATTCAAGGTACCAATGCCTGAAAGCTCAGGCAGCTCCAGGGACACCTCCATCTGTGATCAAAAAGTGATACTCCAGAGGGGATTACTGTGCCACAGCCCCCCCACCGCGTCCCAGTCCTCTGGACCAGGCTCACCGGGGACCCATTTGGCTGGAAGCACAACCTGCACTGGGGCAGAAGCAGCACAAGCTCCCATGTCTCTCCTCTGCGTTTTAGTCTCTGGTTTTCCTTTGGTGACTTGGGGCAAGGGAAAGGCTGCCTCCTTTCCTCCAAGGCAAAGGAACAGCCCTCAGGCCCTTCCCTGCTCAAGGAATGTGGTCAGCCCTTCAAGATAGGGCTGTCACACAAGTCTGTCTCCCAGAAGAGCTCCGCGCCTTTCATTAAGCAGCAGAGGCAATCTGCTGAGATACTGCTGAAATATCTCTAATTTCACATTAACAGTCTGCTGTGCTGGGGCTTGCAGCCACATACTCAGTGATGCGAAAGTCAGCTTCCCACTTTCACTTAATAGTAGAATGAAACACAATAGTAGAAGGCAGGAGACAAACTGATTTTTTTTTTAAGAGGAGCTGTGGAGGAGACTGTTAAAGCAAAAATGGAAATCTATACAGTGCTGGGACTTTCTGTGTTGGGGTAATGCAGAGCACTGCCATACACATCGCCACCCCTGTGCAACCATCACCAAGACGTTTGTACAAGCATCTCACACCTTTGTCTGCAGACATTTTGAAGGGAAAAAAAAACCCAAGCCATAAACACAACCATGTGGTTGTCTGGGTCCATCTCACACATTCCTGTACATACGCTTTTTCGGGCCACAGAGACCAGCATTTCCCATTTCAAAACTCTCCAAACACAGTGAAGCCATCGCAGACATGGGAACCGGCACCAGTCCCAGCTTGCAAACAACCGCAACACTTTTTCAGGCAGAAGTCGTAACAGCTACTTTGCAGCAACCTCAAACACCACAAGTCCTAGGTCTGCCCAAGAGCACTGAACTGGAAAGTATCTCTGCCGGGTCCCCTGTCCAGCCAGCACGGCGAGACAAGCTGGACAGCACTGGAAGGCGGCCTTTGCACCACTGCCAGGAGACTCCTCACAGCCCCCGGTCACTGTACTCCTGAACCCTGGGTGAGCAAACAATATCTTGTTGCATCTTTGTGGCTTTCCCGGGCAGCTTTTATTCTCATTACACTTCCCAAGCGTGGCTAGGCAGAAGCGGGGAAGAAGGAAAAGGGCGTTCTTCAAACAGAGCTGACAGCTTCTTTGTCAGCTCCTTACAGTGCCAGAGGACTCCAGCCCTGTTTCTCCAGGGCTTCGCTTTCACTCCTCCACACCAAACCACTTGACACAAGTTACAAACACCCACTCTCCCTTCCTCTGGCTCCTCTGGGGAGCTGCGTCCCTAAGCCACTCATCAGCTTGACGACAGCTGATGCAGACCCCATTACTCCTTCTCCGCCGCTTTTAGCAGCTCATCCCTCCCCTGAGGACAGCATAGGTGATGCTCACAAGTACCCAGTGTCTAGGGGGAAGTAGGTAAGACAAGGAGTTAAGCCATACTGGGAATAGCCACCTTCTACAAGGAAAGCCTTGGCTGTTTTAAGGCTCCCTTTCCACGTGGCCCTTTCCCAGTCTGGCTGATACCTGGAGAGCAGCAACTGCTAGCTCTTTTGAGGTCCTCCAGCAATGCAGATGCGTAAGTGGAGTCCCAGACAGCAGGTTTGAAATTAAAGCAGTGACAATAGCAGAACAGTCTAGAAAAGCAGCGAGCCTGGCCAAAGGAGGAGCCAAAGCCTGAGCAGCTGATCAGGGACGGAGCCTGGAGCAGGAGGCACTTCTGCCCGCTCATCCTGAGATGTCCCATGGCCAAAGGGTGAGCTTTCCCAGAGCCATTGCTCGGGGGAAAAAAAAAAAAAAGGACTGTGTGGGTCCTGGTACTCCAGTTCCCATCTGTTGTGGTCAGAGTTCATCTCCCCCAAAGGGAAAAACATCTGCCGAGATCCCATAAACTGAGTGAGGGGAAGCCTCCTAATCCCTCAGGGAATAGCTGTGCCCTCGGGTCAGATTGGAGAGGATTTCTCATGAGCCTTCTTTTAGTGCCAGTTGGGGAGGAACCAGCTTCTCCAAGTTACCTGGCAGTCAGCTGAAAGCACCATGGGACTTCAAAGGTTTTTTGGGCAGGAATTTTTCAAACTGCTGAAAATTGGCCACTGAGGTCAGGCATCAGCTCCCTATCAAGCCTCACATGAATGAATGAAGCCAATAATGAAGAATTTTGATAATCACCATTTTTTTTGGAGGGCAAGGTAAGTTCTGAGCACTAACTCTTGGGGTTTAGGAAATAAAATTCTTCCACCCTGTTTTTAAATACACCCACAGTGACTGAACCCCCATTTTTCACAACCAGTTAACCCAGTGTACCAGAGTCCTATCAAACGTTGCAGGATAGTTATAAAAATAAAATTGGAATACATTATTTCACAGGATGAACAAAACCAATTATGACCATGTGGACACAAAGAAACATGTTAAATGCAAATATGAACTGATTTAAGACATAGTTGCACAAGAGACTCTTAGCAACTTTTAAATGTCCCAAAAGGCCAAAAAAAGGACACACACACCCCTATTAAAACATTACAT